TATTTACACTAATGTCTAACAATAATACAAGAAGTTTATTAGTGAGAATTGCCAAGTGGATTTCATCTAATATTTGATAGCATATTTTTTGGGTAATAAAAATATATTTATAATAAAAATTCAAATTAAACTGGACTTAGAAAAACACTGCAAAACAAAAGTAAGTTTGGAAGGGGAGAGAACTTTTAAGATGGCAATATGAACTATCAGAATATCTGAAGAGATGTAAAAGACAATTTTATGATTTTACCTTTAAGTGGTTGCCTTGGATATTTTGAAAGGCTGAAAATGTGTTAGCATTGAGTTGGATTCAGATAAATAAGATAATTGAATTTTATATTAGACCAGCTTACTGGAGGAGTTACTAGTAGAGATGCGGAGCTTTTGTTATAAGTTTTTCTCATCATTAAATTAATTAATTAATTTACAATTATTGAGTTAATTCTGAAGTGGTAAATAGAGATTGGTAATTTAAGTAATGTAAGCTAAAATAAAATAAGGAAATTAAACGCTTTTTTTATAAGAAATTTTCCTGATGATTTAATCGATGAGTTGGCAACTAGAGAGTGAAAATATGCATGGAAATGATTATCAGTGGTTATTGAAAATGTTAAGAATTCATTCAAACTTGTTTTAAAGAATTAAATATAGGAATTTTACATAGAAAGTGCTTGGTTCTAATATTCTATAATTTTAACGGTTCTGCTATTTGACTTTTTGGGCAAGCATATTTATACATCCTCTACAGTTATTACAGTATTGAAGATTATAAATTAATCATATGGAGATATTACTCCAAAGATCCGATTTAGAGATATAGTATAAGAACTGAGATAATTATTTTCTACACGCTGATGGTATTTCTACCACCTATAACCTTAATAAGTATATTGAGGAGAGTTAAGTCTAGATTGTCTTTTCAAACTATTATGAATAATTAACCAATTCTACAGAATTTGATTACCTAAGGATTATTTATATGCATAAACACATATATCCGTTATGTTGGTTTATTCAATTCTACCTAGCGAAATCATGTATTATCATTTTAAGCATCATACATAAAACATTGTTACATGAGAGAATATAGAGATCTATTTTAATGTATTGTTGTACTTTATGACTTTATGATAGTTTTCTGTTTATCATTACATCAATATTTGTGTTGCTCATCCTGCCAGATTGTACATTTGAGCTTGAACCTTTCTCTTGCGTAACTTCAGCGTGTCTAAATTGCTTAATAGCTATGATATCGCTAAAGAAATATCTGAGAGTAATTAATGTCTGGCTTAATTCGAGCTATCAACATCTACACTACCCCTTTAAATTATATGAATGCCTACCTAATGAATTACTATTGGCCATTTTAAAATTAAGCTCATGGATATTTCCCAATAAATTGCAGTAATCTAAAATAGTTCATTATCAGAAAAATAGTAGCTTAATCATGCTCACTTAGTGTACTGGAGTTAAATGCAATCCAAAAAATGTCCAAAACGATAACTCTGACACACCAATATTGATACTAGCTGGCTTTCTTGCTGCTTTTAAGAAACCTTCATTCATTTTGAAAGAGTGTATTCAAAAGTTGTCAATTTACAATATGTGTTAGAGGTTATCGAACACATTGATCATCATCTTGTATTCCATGCTATGACAAACTAATTTCTTAATAGGAGAAGTAAAATAATTCTTTACATCCTAATTTAGCATGCAATCTTCAAACTGTTGCTTAATGTTGCACACCTTTCAACCCCTGTGCAATGTTTGGACCAAATGTGCAAGCATCTGTATGAATGCTGATATTGCAGACTTGAATTATTCTACATGTAACTATTCTTTTTGAGAGCTGATTAATAAAAACATGTATTCTGTCTGAAAAAGGAGAGTCTGTAAAAGCGTATGCATCTGCACAAATTATATTAAATGGAGTTCAATATTGTAATGAGATACTTTATTAATTCATCCAAACCACACTTTGGCCAAAATACAAATTACATAGAAAGCTTTCGCAAAGGAACATTTGAACTATGAGAAGCTTTTTGTGCGAATACTGTCCAAAGGATGCTAATGCCTATGATCTTTCTACATAATTGCATATGCTTAGATAGACAAAAATCCTATTAGGACAGGTTAGCAATAAGGAAGTGATTGTGCAATCTTTTCTGTTTATTTGAGATTTGCCCCTTCTAAATGAATTAATGCACAGTATAATTAAATAATTAAGCAGATGAGAAATATTTTTGGATAATTATTAATATCATAATCTACAGGAGTTCAAAACTTTACTATATGAACTTATAGCGTTGCTTTTTCTGACCTAATGACAGATCATTTATTTTGAGCTTGCTTTCTGTTTTTGCTTATATCGATTAAGCTCTACTTTATATTACACCTGTGCATTAAAATTATGCCCAAAACTTGTTTGGATTGCAATCTTAACAATTTTATTTCTAAATAAATGTTCATTAATTAAAAGCAAGTAGAGCTAAACCATTGGATATTTAATAATTTGTGCTTTATAATTATTTTTAGTATTTCCTTCACTTATAGATAAAAATTTTGTCACTGAAGATTGCCATGGTAGTTGAAATTGTATCTTTTAGTACTTATTTCTCACCCTATTGAAAATTATGTTCTGTTCGGAGTGTTGTTATCTTGAGAATTTACTCATATTTGATACTTGAGCTGACCTTGATAAACTAGCAAATTTTTTTATTAGGTCCAAGATTAGCTATATCAAACACAATATATACATCTAGAGATGGTGAGCTAAAACTAAGAATAATTAGAAGTATGCTCCCTTCCCTTTGCTTGATGTTATTCTTGAAAGGAGGCTATTTATTTAAGTAAAGATGAAAGAGAAGACTCTTTATCAACTTGAAATCCACCCAGGTTAATTAAGCAATTTTCTGGAGATAAGTCCATTTACCTGGATCTAATATAGTTTAGTGCTGATCTATTTGAGGGCCTGAGGTTTTGTCTTAGATTTTAAATATTTTCAATTGAATTAGAGAGCTTTAATATTTTTTTTTTCTCAAAGGATTGCCTTCTTCTTTATAGAATATTGTTAATTCTGGTTGCCTTTTTTTGGTGCTGTTATGTTTAAATACTCTTGTGTCTTGCTTCCTGCAATAGTACAACATAAGGCTTTTGTTTGATATTAATAAATATGTTCCATTATTAATTGATCCATATATTTAAAATGATTTAGTTCTTTATTATTTAAGTATTTTCTAGATAGCGATTAATCATAATTTAAACTTAGGAACATATTCAAGTTCCCTTATATATGATAATTCAAACTTAATTCTAATTTAAATATGATCTTGCCTATTTTATTTGTTTTTTCTTTATGATTATTTATTGCTCTAAAATATTTGCATTATTCGATCAGATCAAGGAACATTATACACTTATAAGTTTTCAATTGGTTATCCTTCTATCTTCCCTGTTAACATTTTATTGTGGAATTTCTTGTTATCTTTTACTGATGCAACTTAATATTAATTATTTACCTGATGGTTAAATTTTTCATTTATGAAATGTCCAAATAATATTGTTCTCTTGACGATATCGGGTTAATAGTAAATTTGAATTTTTGGAGTTTCTGAGAAAAAACAGGAATAAAATTCTTCTTAAAAAAGTTGTAACAATTTTTATTTTGATAATATTTATTCTCTCCTAGATTACTTTCTATTTTTTATATCATAAAAGATTCAAATTTGATTATATTTAAATGACCACTTTCATATATAAACCATGTTTAATAGAATGATATCTAATGCGCATTTTTACGATAGTATCAATCTTTGTACTCCAAGATAAATGAACTAAAGGCTAAGTGTAAAAGGTTCAAATTAATTTTTCAATAACTCTAAATAATGAACAGGAATTAAATTTGTTTAATATTTCATCTCCTCTATTAATTTTGAACTATTTAGATCTAATTAAATTCTCACTTTTGTAAATTTTCACAATAAAGATTAAAATGTTAGTTCTATATCTACAAGTTCTATTAGAATGGAGTTATTATTTGATTGATGAAATAAACAAGATTAAGGAATGGTTTAGATAAATAAGATATATAGCTTAAATAAATATTTGAGATCAAAAATGCATTTTTAATATTTGCATACATATGAGCTAACATAAATTTTACCTGAGAACCTAAAAAGATTAAAAATGTTGATTAGACTAGGGATATGATATTTAATTATCAAAAGTTAACAAAAATATATAAGCCTAAGGGTTTTGAATTACGGGTAAATTCAAGATTATTTAAGAAAAAAAGAATCACTAATTCATTATCACAATGGAAACACTAATTAGAATGACTGCTAATCTAAATTGCTTCTTTTTAAGTACTCATTTTAGTAGTTTAATTAAATATTAATGTTTCGTCATTATTTGTTAAGGCTTATCTCCATCTATTTTATTTTATATTCCACCTAAGCAGATTATACAAAATAACGCCTATTTGATTTATGGTTTACAACTAGATTTATTTATATAATTTCCAAATCTTAAAAGTGTTGTCAAACAACTTTAATTAATATAGTACGTTTGCAGATATAAGGCGGTGAAATGAATTCATTTCAGTTAAATAATTATCGTTAGATATTTGTCTCAAGCAAAGTACCAAGGAGCCACTCAAATTGAAAAAAGGTAAAGCTTAAGATTATGTGATACCTTTAGTGTAATTTCTTGAAGTATAGTCAAAAATAAATTCTGGATTTAACATATTGCGTAATGATGAATATAATGAAGCTCAGAACAAAATTGTAGATTCAATAAAATCAAAATTTTAATGTCTATTTAAGGAAAATATTGCAATGATTTGATAAAATTATTGCTTGTTAAATAATCACTATGTGATTCTTATTTATTTTTAGAAACATTCTACTGAGTTTGATAAAAGTATGAGTTTTTTGAAGTTATATTATTAAGTGTAAAGACAATAATGTTTTTATTCAATTACAAAAAAATTATGTTATTTGTCATTTTTGAAATTAATAAATAACGTCCGCTTATTATTATTATAATATGGGATTTATGTTTTTGAGAGCGTTTGCACTTTTTGCGATTGAAAAATGGGCCAAATCTCCTGGAAACAATAATTTGACAACAGTTTAGATTTCTCTTGGTCTAAGTGTCTTTCTATTTTTATCTCTAAATCTGATTAAATTGCTGACTTCAAGTGTAATTCTATGGAAAATATCATTGATGAATTAATTCATAATGTTCATAGCCTTTATAGAAATTTCCAATTCTGGGTGAACTTATTTGAGGACGTTGTATATATATATTGCATAAGACTCTTACCTTTTTTGCCTTTCTCTAATTATTGTTTTTTATTTTTGTTTTCGCAGCTTTAACTGTTTTTTTGCTCCAACCTTCCTGAATCCCATTAATTTTAATAATTTTGAATGAATCACATTTTTATATTTAAAGCAAATTTGTTAATCTGGTTGAAATCCAATTGTCTAATTTAGGCTAATTAATATTAATGAATTTAATTAAGGATAAACTTAAAGATTTAATCAAATAATTAACAGCGTTGGTTTGCTTTTTTGTGAGTTTACATATCACTGTAAAAAGAATCAATTAATGCATAAATTTGAATGTTACTTATGATATTAATGTATATCAATAACTATTCTACTAAATGAGACGAGTAAAATCTTCAATATTAACTATTTTATTAATATAATTAGTTTATAATGCTCATTCTTATTCAGTTACTGCTTCAAATATTCAAAATATAAATCAGATAAAATTTGAAGATTCTTAAATGGCCCTTGAAAATTAATTAACTATAAAGGTAAGTTGGAATTTAGTTTTGTAAATAACTTGAGAGTGAGTAGATAATCAAAATTGTGAAGTTTTTTGGATGATAGAAGAATTTAAATAAACGATAATTTATTGAAACTTATTTTTTATTAAGGCTTCAACTATTAATTTGAATTATACAACAGCAATAAAAAAAGGGACAATAAAAAATAACTCAAAACGTAAGAAACTTAATAAAGAGAGAAAAATTTTGGATTGACTTGGTAGATCAGAATAATAATTGTCCAATGTCACTATACTGCTTCTAACTCTGCAAGCCTTGACCAGAAACTATCTATAGATGTCAATACATTCAAAAGCTAGAGCTATAAATAAATAAATCTATAGTATTTTATTAATCCAATAAGCTCTATTAAAGATAAAGTATTTCAAACCTCATTTATTCTAAATGAGAATTATACCAAAATAATATTGCTTTCGCAATTTTCTGTTATAAATCAAAAAAATTTATTCAAATTTTCTATTCATTAACTCCTTCTGCTGTTCTCTTTATACTTAATCTATTTAATTTAAAATTATTAACATTTAATTATGGATAATTCCTAGTATCAAACCAGATTGGCTTACATTTGAATGAAATAATTGGACATATCCCTTTATTATATAATCGAAGTTTTTGGTAAAGGAAAATTTAGAATAACAAATTTGTGTTAACTTTCTTATAATCTAATTTTTCCTTAGTTTTATATCTAAAAATAATAGAAAAATTTATAATAACTGATTTATAATATTGTGACTTAATACTATTTCGCATAGACATTTTACTTAGTAATATTAATCATTCTTGATTTTGAATTTTATACTTAAATTCATTAGTAAATTACTAATATTAATACAAATATAATGTATCTACATCACAAATAGATTTTTTATTTAAAGAGTAACATGTAAATGTAAAATTCAATCACAATGTTTCTTATTAGAAAAAATAGAAGATTGCTTAGTGGCTGTTTAAAATAATATAGAAGTAAATACTTATTTAATAATCCAATCGTCTTAATTCAACAATATCAAGGCTTATATTGATTTATTTGTTAATGAGACTTTTGATTCTTCAAAATCTTCTATTAAATCATCGTATACATCTTCAACTTGTTTGATTTAAATTAAATTTGAAAATTTAAATTTTGCCTCATATAACTATTAAGATATATCACCATATAACAAAAACAATTAAATGGAAATTTTACTCAAGAAGAATCTTTAAATCTAATCATTAATAACGTGCTAAAGAAATTCAATAAGATAGGAACGAATGGTAAAATCTCAAGCCATTAATTATTAACTAATCCAAGAATGTTCAATTCCATAAAAAGAGAGTTGTTTTGCAGTTGCTATTAATAAGGATTGTTCAACATAATTGGTTAAATTTGAATCGCAAATTAAAGTGTTTGAATTTAAATAAGGAGTGATGCAACTAATTTAATGTTTATCTGAACATCAGAAATGGGTTGTTACTTCAAATTTCAGGAAGAAATTGAATTAATTCATATTTGAAAGCTATGATAATTGAATCAGAATATGGTAAAAAGATAAACACAAACAATGGATTTTCTAATAAATATTAAATGGCAATATTTATTTTATCTATTGTTTTATTATTAGTAAATGATAACGAAAAATCTAGTTATTTTAGGAAATTTTGATAGATGTATTAAATTTTGGATTAAGTAACCCTTAAACAATTATAATTGCAGAAAAACTTCGCAACTTGTTTTAGACAATTTCAACTTCATTATCGATTTTAATTACGACCATAATATATTATAATATTAATTATCAATAATAATAATCATCAAAAGTAAAAATAATAGCAGGTGTTTTGTTGAAGAGTAATATACTTCATGAGATAAATAATCCTTTTATTATTAGAGCAGATACTCTAAAAAGAGTGAAATAAAGACAATAGACTGATTCATATACATTAATGTTCTATTCTTTCTATGTTGTATAACAAAGTAGTGAACCTGATCACAATTTGTAAGCAAAGACTATTTTTATGATAATCATCTCAATTTATAAAGACTATTTGAAATAATAACGAAAATATCAAATTTATTTAAAGTAAGCAATTCGAAAACTAATTTATTGAAATAAATTATAACAGGAATTTAACATATGAAATAAAGTCTATTTCAAAATCAACCTATATTTAACTACTTAATATCAATTTTGTATTTTTAAGATTAATTCTATATTGAATGAAAGGTGGAGGGGGATTCTATGATAAAACTTAGTTCGTGACATGGGTGTTAAATATATATCTATTTAGATTGAATCTTATAAGCTATACCAATATGAATAGATTTAAACAAGCATTTTACAAAGATTTACATTGTTTGTTCCCTCAAAGCATTGTCCAACTTTCTACCTAATTTATGTAATTTAAATATCATCCTTTAGCTTACAAACAAAAATATCAATTTCTTCATTACTATTCACATTTGTCGCAATCATAGAACCTAAATGCATACAGTTCCTGCTAATTTCCTTTCAGAATCACGTGAAATTTATTATTTAATTAATTAATTCTTAGACGATTTCTTTTCTTTTATTCATTAATTTCTATCATATCCTAAAATCCTTCCTTTCATATATTCTTTCAAAATCTAACAGGCTTTTGAGTTATTGTATTTCACTCCTTTAGAAATAAGCTATTCTAATAATAAATTAAATTTCAGAAGATTACAAAATTTCGCTAAAATACTGCAGCTCCTTCTTGAAATCATTTAATGAAGGTATTCGTGATTAATTCTCATCTATCTTTAACAAGACTTTTGAATTATTAACATGATATTCGAATTTCTTTTCTTAAATTTTAATCCTTTAGCCACATTTGTCTCAAAAATACTGGTATGTTAAACGCAGATTTCAAATGATACTTTGCTTTTTTGCTCGCATCTAAATCTTAACTGAATCAGAGTGATTACTAATAGTAACTTCATAGCTTTTCAAATCATTTCATGAAGGATCTCATATAATCCTCCAATCTATTTCAAGCTATTATAACCCTCTCATAATTGATAACCTTTTAGTAAGTCAAGTATAAAGGAGTCGTATATATAAGAGCTTTTCCTTCAACTTTATTCTTTGGATCGGCTCTTCCAATAAAAATGACTTTAAAATGGAATCTCTAGCAATCCCTTTCTCGTCTAGAGATTAAAAGTTCTATATTTCATTCAATTTCATTCGAAAAGGGATATGGATGAAAAAAGCCCTTCTTAAGAGTCCATCTTTTCCTCTTTAACATCGTCTTTTTTCAACATTACGTTTAGGTATTACAAAAGCACAATTTAATTTTAATTATAAAAATCTCAGTTTTAACAATCTCTTCTATGTAAATTTCTTACATAAGATAAAGTTGTCTAATTAATGAAATAAATTTATGCTCAAATTGATTAAATTAATTTAGGCTATTCACTTTGTGATAACAGAATTGTTAAACTAACTTCCAGAGGTAAACATCAATAGTTGCTTGATTCTATGCTTAAGTGTAAATCTATTATTCAGCTTAAAAGATTCATTTTAAAATTAGTTCCATAATGGCCAGGTAGGAGATAAGGATAAATGACAAGTGCATAGAAGAAGAATGCAAAAAAATTTAGATATTTTAAAATCAAATACACTAATGTAACAATATATGTTTTAAATAGTTGAACTAATTAAACTAGAAAAGAATGGTTCAAGATGAATAAATTGCAAATAAGTAGAATTTAAACGTTAGGAAGTTGAAAAGTCTTAGCTTAAGTTCTTGTATAAATAATGTATATTAAATGCCTTAAATTATGTATTTAGGCTAATGATTTTGAATAAATTGTTCACACTAATAAAATTAAAATCGAACTTACTTGGATTTTAAATCTTAAAATACAAAACCTGACTTTCTGTTTTCAAGTTTAAATATACTTAATATCTCAATAATTTATCTTATTGCAGCTTCGTAAAACTTATTATGATCTTCAAGAATCATCTTTATATAATTTATAATACCTATCATAAAACTACTGTAAAATCTATTCTCCAAAAATGCCATAATCAATTATCAAAGTGATTTTTTAGATATATATAGATGAGCCTACCATGAAGCTGACATAATTATTATAGTTTTTAAACCTTCACTATGATTCTTCTTTCCAAATAGCTCAGTTATAGAAAATATTAAATCATTTTATCTTTTCTAAAAAATCCACATATAATCATTTATTAATTATTTAATAAAAATAATAGATATTATTAATAGAAAATGAATATACATCTAATTGTTATTGAATTTAAAATATTATGAAATATTTAAGAACTGGTAAATGTTACATTAAGAAGGTTTTAATTATATACATAATTCAAATATGAGTAACTAAAGCGTTTTAGCATTTTATATATTTGACATTTATTGATTTCTCGTTCTAAAAATGCACTATTTTTTAAATTTCTTAGATATAAAGCAAGGAACATAAATTAAGATTGTATATATAACTTAAATTTATTTTAAAATTATGTTAATTGATTCTTTTAGTTTTGATTATCAAATGAATTAATTATTTTCTCACTCAATTCTTTAATTTTTAAAGGCTCATTTTCATATTTGAAAAAGAAATTGATGAGATCTTTTACGCCTCCTAATAGTTTCAATCATAAATCTATCAAGAACATTTTTTTTATTCCTATTATAATTGATCCTTATTGACTGATAAAATGAGTATTGGTTTTGATTGAAACAGAACAAACAGTCTTGAAATTCATCTGAAAATCAACAAATCTTTAGATTGGGTGCTATTTAAATTCTGAAAATTCTTATCCTTAAAAGCTAAAGCATTCATTAATGAAATTTATCATCTCCTGAGTCCATTCAGACTTTGGTTAATTAATTAAATAACCTAAATTTGTTAGCTGATAAGGTTTTATAGGAATAATCAAAAACACATCTGCGTTATGCACAATAAATAGATCATTACTGTGCGAAATAATAAAGATCTGAAGAATGGCTTGATATCCTCATTTTTTTTGTGAAAAAGATGTGTATGAAAAATGAAATCTATATATATACCTATAAAATTTAATATCTTCTCTTAACCATTTCCGACAAAAACTTTTAATTCATATTAAGAATACTCGATTAAGGAAACTGAATCTAAAGATTTTGTATCCTAACCAGAGATTAAATTTCAATCTTACATGGATCAATCATGCTTGATTCTGATCATTTAACTAATAAACCATAACCAATTGCTGGAAATGCAATCACCTATTGATACTGAGATGAGCAATTTTCTAGTCCACAGATTAATTCTTCTTCTTGTAATATCTCCTTCTAAATTTATAATGCCATAATTGATCTATTATTGAAATAATAACTTTTGTTATATCTTCCATCTTTCTCATAAAAGTTTAAGTTATTTTAGACACTTTATGAACTCTAATTAGGCTGTAATAAATTTGCCTATTGATAATCCTGCAATCTTTTGGGCATCTTTTGATAAAGAATTAACTAAGCTGATGATGAAGGACCTGTATATTAGTAAAAGACATAATAAAAATAAGAATGTAAGAATTCAAACCTCAACAAATAAATCATAAAACATTAGGAGTGTTGTAGGAGAATCCAAATAAAAGGAGTTAATAAAATCTTTGATATGGAATTATATTGGGAAGGAAGAGATTGTAATCTGTACAACTATTAAACTATTTAAACTCATTCTTGATAAACAAATATAAGCTTTTAGATAATCAGTGACTAATCGGTAATGATCATTGAATTGAACTTTATTTTTGGCTGACTCAAACTCTAGACTAATACAACAATTTGAAAGATTTAAATGTAATTTTAATAACATGAAAAATTTAATGAAAGAGTTTATGTAATGATTGTATTATGGTATCACAAGAAGGGTTACTATTCTTACTTATTTCATTAGAAAGGCATCTCTAATTGAAAAAGGAAAATATGACCATGAGTTAAAATAAATAAATCTATTGTATTTGAGTTTGTTACCTAAAAATAATTTGTAGAAAGATCTTATGATAAAAATTATGGAATTCATAAAATTTATGATTGATTGAATTGCGCCAATATTTCATTTTTGGAAATATCACATATATGGATTCTTCCTAAATTTAATGAGAGAGTGATGTGAATATTTGAAGTTCAAACAAAGTAGAAGATAATAATTTAGGAAAATTTCATAATTTCTTGTAAATACATTTTTTAAAGAAATCTTCATAAGCAATTATACCTTAACTCAGGGCATATCTATCAGGCATAAATCTTACAATTATTTTTTGAGGGTCTACCATAGAATTAAGTTGTTTTTTTCCAATTAATCCTTCATCATTGATTGTAAAATTCTAATTTACTAAACTTTAAAAGCGCCTTTCTACACCTTCAATTTTACATTTAAGTAGTTACTTGGTCAACGCCAAAAGTATTCAAATTACTATCAATCATTTCATTAGGTATTGTAAACGGGAGAGAAGAATTGTTATTCGAACTCTCTTAAAAATCTCCACAGATTTATGTCCCTTATACATAGTCAATCCGTTGGAGGAGAGGTAATAAAAATAGGGTTTAAAGAAAAAATTCCAAAAGAATTGGGTCGCTTGTCTAAGCAGGAAAATTTTGCAGTTAGCGGGAGTTGATCAGATTAGAAGAATATCATCTTCTTCATTTCCTTTTTACAGTTATTTAGGGCCGCCTTTATTCTTGATAGCCATTCCTAAGTACTTTGAACATTTTACTTATTCTATATCCATCATTATTTATCCACATTGATTGTTGTCATGCATTTTGATTTCCAATGTTCATTTAAGTTGAAAATCTCAATCAATTTGGGTGAAGATTTAAGTAACATTTCAAGTCTAAGATCAATACATCATCAATATCACCTAAAACAATTCTAACTATAAAGGTTCTCCTTAATTATCAAACCTCTTCTTATCTAACTTCCAATCATGAGCAGATTTAATTGAGTATGAACCTCAAAGTTAAATAGGATTTCAAATATGAAGGGGCAAGGAGAGATCCTTAATAGAATCAATCCCTGATGTAGACCTTGATTTAATTTATCCACCGGATATGATGTACATATAATTATATATCCATTATGAGCAATCATTTGATTTGGTGTAAAAATACATAAGCGCTTTTTCTCTTCCTTCTATTTTTGAAGCTTCGATGCATTAGGCTAGTCAAGAAAAACCAAATAAGCAATAAATTTCGATATCCAATTTATTTTCATTAATTACAGTATAATATCTTCTAATAAAATGCGTAAAATAATAAGTCATTTTAATTTAAGTTTAACTTTTTCTCTTTTTTTAAATTAGTCAAGTAATGACTTTTAAAAGTTATAATTTGACATTTTAATGTAAATGTTATGAATTAGACTATACTGAAATAAATTCGAATAGATAGAATTTTTACTAACAATTTGACATTTGGTGATTTTGCTTAATATCATTTTATTTCATGATGATATGCAATTATTCCTTCTTACATTTTAAACCAAGTACATCTCTAAGAGCATAGATGCAGAAATAAAAAAAATACTCTATACGTATTCATATTTTAGAATGTTGAATTCTCAGAATCTAATTTAATTACTATCTTTAGAAATATAGTATTATCTATTTTAAAGTTGGGTTTTATTTAAAAAAAATATTGACTATTTAAAAGATTCGGTATTTTAGCAAATTTTGATAAGGCTGTACATTTAAAATACATACATATTAATTTTTATAATAATATAAGTTCATTTTAAACTAATACCAATACTAGTTTAAATATTAATTGTGATATCAAGATATTATAATTTAAATAAATTAGTAAGATTGACAATTTCATTAGCGTCATTTCAACATATCAAAGAAAGGAATGATTATTTTAAACTGTATTACTAAAAAATAAGTCTTTATCCATCTATTCTAATTATAAGAAATAATAATTATAATTAAAATACTAGCCTCAAGCAAATAATATTTGATATATTTCACATTCCTATATTTCTGGTTTGACTGATCCAGACAGATGAGTTTTATAATTATCTCCTCTCAAAAATTCGTATTCACAACCTAAATCACACTCACCATCATTAAAATTTGCACGAATATCAATATCATTATAATTACCATAAGAAGGCCCAAAATCACTTTTACAATAAATGGCTTTAGTCCTATCCTTCAAGGAATAAATTTAATTATGGGTTTATGAGAATATAAAAGATGATAAGGTTTCGTCTCCAACATTTCCCTTATCAGATTGCCATGTACAAGGCGAGTAGGCTCCAAAAATATTTCCACTTTTTGATTTAAATACCATTAATAAATTGCATAAATTATTAGCTTTTCCCCAAAATTATGATGCAGTTAACCCATCCCTAGTCCCTAAAAATATATCCTTGGAACCCTTAATGGTTTTTTTCGTTTTCTCCTATAAAATATAAAATATTTTTATCCAATAATCATCAGTTAGTAATTTTGGTTTTAATATCTAATCAAGCTTCTATTCAAAAAATAATTATTTTAAAAATTATTTTGTATCCTCCTAATCATAAAGATCATATCTACATTAAAGGAACCGAAATTTTAACAATTCTTCATGTTTTTTTGAATTTTTTGTATTTTCTTAAACCACAGTGTTCACTTTTTGTAATAAATTACTTTAATTGTTAATCTTATCCTCCAACTAATTTATCTATTTTTTATTTTATTTTTCTAAATCATTTAACAGCACTTAATTCTCTTCTGCTATTGCCTTTGAAAGAGACTTTAACTGTTATTCATTTTTTTCAAAATATTCCTCTACTTTTAAATTTTAATTTTCAATTAAAGAATTTGTTGTGCTTATTTCGTCATTTATTTTTGACATTAGTACTTCTTTTTATTATTAAGTTTATATAGATTATTAATTATCTACTTCTTTAATAGTTTCAGTAAGCTTTTCAACCTTTTAATCAACTGTGATAAGTTATGTTTCTAAAGTATTTTTTAATGATTCTAACTTATCTGAGACTATTGAGGATTTTTCTCTTTCTTTTAAGTCTGATTATACTTCATCCATTTATTAATTCAACTAATTTTACTTATTAGATAATTATTCCAATCTTATTTCGCTCGAATGAGATAATTCCATTAAACTTTGCTTTAGTTGATTATTTTACATTTTTTCCTCATTAGATTATTGAACATACTCTTATTCTTATTAGAGGAATTTCTATTTGATATTCTCTTCTAACTCAACAATTTTTTCTTAAATTTTTTTAATTTCTTATTTTTCCTCATCAATTTTAATTTGCAATTCTTCTTTTTATTTTGTAACCAACAATAATTATTTCTCATTTTCATCAGCTTCTATCAATTTCCTCATTTTTTCTGTATTTATTTCATATTATTTATATTGTTATTAGAATAGAGAACATTGAGAATCTTCTGTATCATTTTATTCTTCCAATATAATTAATTATTAAAGAACGCCATTTTACTCAAGTTGAGATGCTTCTTTCTATAATTCTTTTTAAAAATTAGTTGATTCAGTAAATATTTTTAAGTATTATTCCTGAAGTTAACATTTAGACATAAATTCATTTATTTCAGGAGTAATTTTAATATCAGTTTGCAAATTATTTCCTATGTTATTATTATCTAAAATAAATAAAATTAAATTACTTTGTTATTCTTACAAAATTAACATTAATTACTATTTGCAAAGCAAATCATGTTTGATCAGGGTTTCTAATTTTGATTTAACATTCTGATAAAATAATTAATCAAGTCTATCTTGTTTATCCTATTGCTAAAGTATATGTTTATTTTTATCCTATTAACTTAACAAGTCAATCATCTTTTCAACTGATTTTTCATCTAATTCAAATATTTATTTATTTTCTTATTTAAGGAAATCTTAAATCTCTTAATTATTTTTTTCAAACTGTTCATCTATAGAAGATAACATTTCCGATAATGAGTGGTTATAATAATCTTTTAGTTATTTAATTTCTTCTATAACCAATTTAAACATTTATTCTCTTCTACAATTATGTTTAGAAATTAAATCTTCTGATTATCCAATAAAGGTATTCCACATATTATTCGCCTCTTTTAAGCTAACGTATTATATCGGATTTTCTTGAATACATTCCACACAGGCTAATCGACTAAATTTAGGCTCGTTATAATTAATATTTAACATAATTATTTCTTTGTTATGCTTATTGCATATCTAATTAAGACAAGGAGTTTTCTAATATTTTTATCATAAGTTACATGTTAATCAAATTCCTTTGTAGGTATTTGGTTAATATTTGCTTATTGGTTAATTGGTTCACTAGATCTTATTAAATTTATGGATTCCATAATTTGGATAAAATATTATGATTTAGACTAAGATTCAATTGATTCTTGGATTAATTAAACTAGGGCTAGGTCTTTTTCCTTGTAACATAGTTATTTGGGTATATTGTAATTAAAATTTCCTATATAATTTTTTGATAGAATTTGAATTTCCTCATTGTAATTTTTGATTTCTAACTTTGATTCTTTTGATTCAATTTCAATTTGGATTTATTCCATTTATTGATCAATTAATTGAAGCAATTTTCCAAGTTCTGATTTGATTTAATTTTTGAATGATTTTATCGAGGATTATAATTATTTTAAATTAGTTAAGCGAAGGACATTTTCTTCTTTTGCAATTTTCAAAGATTAGGTTTTCATGCTTTAAATCATCTCAGTAGCTTCATTAAGCAATGCCATGTTTTCTTTATCGACTCTTTCGGCTAGGCATCT